TCCCTAACTGAAGCTGCAGTCAGCTTGTCAGCCTGGGAATGGAGCTGAGAGTCAGGAGAAATCCAGGCCTGGGAAGAATTTCCAAGCTGTAATTCCCCAGCTCTCTAAATGTGTGTGCCCACACCTGAGCGAGGTGCAGAGAGCAGAGGAGATCACGGCGGGGCTGTGACCTCCAGGAACTTTTAGCATGCATGAGTTTCAAATCTGACAGTGACTAGGGATCCCAGGAAACAGATCAAGGTCAACTCGTTTTTAATTGTGATGATCTGGACATCAACAGAGAAAATAATTTATCTTCACTCTGGGCAGCATTAAGGAATATTCGCATGTAGCAAGCAGAATAAAATGATGGAAAAACCCCAAAGTGAAGTGGGCAAACAGTCAGTGGACTCCAGTTCTGCAGAGTACCACTGTAACAGATTTTAGAATTATGCTTTTGCCACCAAAAGTCAGGAATAAAACTCTTTAACACTGTGATTTTAGTATTAGAAAGTGGTATTTATTTCAGCAGGAGATATCCTCCAGTTGCACACACCACTGCTAGCTAACAGACTGGTTTAAATCTGTGTAACTTGCACAGATTCATTACATTTCCTGAAACTCATAGGCTTGAAGTTCCTGCAAATCCATTTGCATATTTAAATAAATACTCAGAGCTCATTTACATTAGAGTAAACGTTTCCTCTAAAATAACTGTGGGGTCACTCTAAAGGGAACATAAAACTCTGGTGACATCTCAAAAAAATACACACCCCACACACATGGAGAATAGAGAGATTTGATGAGTTTAATATCTGAGTTCAGGCTATCACTCTCTGGGTAGGGTCCATCCCAGGAAAGAATTACCTGGTGAACACAGATAATCCCACATATTCTCCACAGTACCACACCAAAGGTACTAAAGAACGTGGATTGCACCCCAGAAAATAACATTTACCCCAGGCATGTTTCAGGTGTGGCAGTTTTTTTCAAGAATACAGAAATGCCTTGGAATTGATCTTCTATTCCAATAATCCATTTACTTCATAGGCTGGTAAGTCTCCCTGAAGGAAAAGTCCTACCTGTGCAGGTGTCAGAGGACAATAACATCTGGAAGAAGAGACAGAAGAATGAAGGAAAATAACATAAATACTGGGTCACCTGCCAGTAGGAGAAATGTGTGGTTAATGTTTTTGGAAAAGCCACATCACAAATCTCAAGTATTTTTTTCTCTCTTCCTAGGGGAAAAGAGTCTGTTGGGTATTGACTGCTGCAGTTGTAGGAGTCAGTCATTTTTTTCTCAGTGTTTAGGAACAACACAACTCTTTCTCTGGTTTCCTGTTAGGTCCTGGAACAAAGTGTAAAGGAATACCTACAGAGCACTTGAATATCTATTTTCATCTATCATATTTTGACCTTTCATGGTCTTGGGCATGATCTTGCCTGAATTAAGGGATGAAAATTTGATATGGAGACAAACTACAAAGGGACACAGGAAAATGGCTTTAAAGGTTTTGCAGGAGGACAGAACATGTGTATAACTCATGTCTAACTCTGGTTTTATAATTTTTATTATCTAATTAATGGTGCAGGAAAGGCCTGCCATGGGAGAACACATCGCTTCATCTCCGTTAGGTTTTTCTGATTTCTCAGAGATTTTCCTCCGTGGATAATAATTTCTGTCTTTATTATGTTTCTGTTTAATTAAACAAAGATACTGCACTTTCAAGCTGTCACTGACCTTACCATACAGACGACACCTACATCACATTTGGTGGTTTTTTTTTCCTACAAAATCACTTTCTGCTGTTCCCAGGGTATGAGTGTGACGCAGAGGTCACTTTACAATCAATGAGTAAGGATGAAAGACAAAGACAATTCTGCAGCCAGGAGAACAAGGGTCAGACTGAATGAGATGTCTTCACTCTGCAAATGTGAGTATCAGCCAGTAATTCCACTTGTAATCAATCTCTTTGGTATGAAAGGAGCATTGTGGAGAGAGAGACAATGCTGATGGATCTGAATAAGAAACCACATAATAAACCAAACAACAGGTAAATAAAAAAAGATCTTTTAATAGGATACAATAAAAATTAAATTTGGTAATGAGTGAATCTTTGGTCCCTTATCCCCAAATGAATGTGGACTGCATCTTTGCTTCACCTGCAAATTTTGTTGGGAAATATAAGCATGGTAAGCCTGTGTGGCAACTGTGTCATTAATTTGGCTGCATTATGGACTAATAATAATTACTGCAAATTAAAACCAGATCTTGGTATTTCTGTAGGATATCTGGGTTTATATAGAAATGTTTTCCAGTATGTTATGTAAAACTAGAGGTGGCTGTGAGTCAGCTCATACACATGCATCATATTTATCCAGCCTCTAACAACTATTCCTTATTGCTGCAATCAGCACTAGCCAGTCTCAGTGGACTTTATATATATATATATATATATAGTATAAAGAGCTGTGGAAAAGCCTCTTTTCTGCTTCACTGCAGAGAGCTAAGGCTTGAAAGCTTTTCTAGAGACCTCATAATTGAGGGATTTTTTTTTCCTTTCCTCTTCTTCTACCACACTCCAGAGCAGGTAACAAGAGAAATTACCTTTGTTATATTCAAATGTTGCTACTGATGGGTTTTGAGACTTGATTAGTCCATAAAAAAATTATCTGCCTTAATAATTCTTCTTTGTCTACAGGGTAGAAGTGGTAGCTGAGCATTTGAAGACAGTAGTGAATATGTAAATTTTGAAGGCAATGCTATGAAAGAAGAACCAGTCAAAAATAGAGACAGAAATAAATGCATAAGACTGCCTTATTTTCCTTAGAAACTTTTATAATCTGTTCAGATCTTTTCAAAATCTGTATAATTTCTAAATTCTAGTCATCTTTGTGTGTGTTCAAGCAGGCAGTTGTATTTGGACTGCAGATTTGCTTGGCTGCTTGCAGCTTCATCAGCTGCTGAACACTG